TGGCCAATGTGGTGAAACCCCATCTCTACTGAAAATATAAAAATTAGCCAGGCGTGGTGATGGACGCCTGTAATCCCAACTACTCAGGAGGCTGAAGCATGAGAATCACTTGAACCCAGGAGGCGGAGGTGACAGTGAGCTGAGATCATGCCATTGCACTCCAGCCTCAGCAACAGAGCGAGGCTCTCTCGAGAAAAAAAAAAGAAAAAAAAAATCTGATGAAGAAGGTCTCTAAGTGTTAGAACGTGCACGGCAGGAGCTTTGCTGGAGTGGCTGAGTGTGGCTGAGACTGCTGTCACTTCCTTCCTGGCTGATCCGGGGGCCTCCATGTTCACATTTCCATTGATGCCAGTTCCCTCAGAAACTGAGACAGGCAGTGTTGATGGTCGTTAAGTTTTTTTGCCATTTAAGTACTTTGACTAGTGGCCTGTGGATGAATGTTTAATGCAGAAAAATAATTTTAGCCTAAACAAATCTCATTATCTTGCAGGGTGAACTTCTCACCTGAGGGCGGTAAAGACTAGTTGGAAAATGGAGAGCCAGGAACCAACAGAGCCTTCTCAGAATGGCAAACAGCATATTATTTCAGAGGAGGTACAACTTTTCACTTTCCTCTCCCTCCCCCACATAAATCTGAGTTTAATAGAAATATGTAGGCTATTTGTCGTTACAAAGGATGGTTTTTCATTCTTGAAGACAGTTTTTGAAGACTTTTCCTACTCCCTTTTTTAGGCTCAGGCAGTTTGCTCTTACGTGGGAAGAGCGTGTCCCTCTGTGTATTAGTGAAATGGAGACTGTAGGTAGATTTGGGCTCTTAACAGAAAAATTCTTAATCCTGACTGTGTTTCCCTAGATAGAAATGGAGAGAGTAGATGGATTTGAGGACTCAGATATTTCATATGTAGTTGTCACAATATGTAGTGGTCCCAACATGAGTAAGAACAATAAAAACCTACATTGTTAATTGTAGTCTCCATTCCAGTGAGTTCTAGAACCAGTGATGTCTGTGTGTTATTCAGTTTAGCTTTGAAAGTCTCTTCCTGCAGGAACCATTGCAATGGATAAATTGTAAATCCTTCATCTTGGTACTCTGATCTTGACACCTGTCTGGAATTCCTTTTGCTTTAAAATCTTTCCATGTTGTCTGTGAACAGATCTGCTGAAAATTATTAGGTTGCTGCTGGCAGGAAGTGAAAGATAGGATAGGAGGAAAGAGACTACTGCTTTATGCATGCAGCGAAGCTTTCCCTCAGTTCAGTATAGTGCCATAGGCAAGTTAGTCTTCAGCACCACAACTTCTCAATGTCCAGACAGAACGAGCCTGGAGTGCCCGTCGCCAGTTGGGTGGGAAACCCAGAAACCCACATATCATGATAGGAAATCCAGTCCTGGACCCCACAGTCCACCTTCCTGTGTCATCACTGACAGGAAACTACCAATGTCCTAGAAATGCCCATTTCTGCATACTAAACTCACCTGTGTTGTATGCACTCGGATCAGGGGACAGACCATCAGGAGCATCCCAAGAGACCCTCACCCCGTGTGCCCCCTTCCAGTTACCTCCACTCCCCCCGCCAGTTACCTCCACTCCCCCCACCCCCAGGAGTTTTGAGACTGTCATTTCTTTCCACCTGTTAGTACTAACCCCAAGAAATAGCAAAAAGCAGCAGAACTGCCCTTTCAAAAAACAACTCTGAACAGCGACCTACTCTGAACTGAAAACTTGCCCACAGATTATTGGGAAGGAAGCACGTTTATTGAGGGGGTGGGGAAGGACAGAGGAAATGTGAAAGAAAAAACCCTTTTAGATAAAAACAACTTGGTTTGAAAGTTTCCCAACTTATTATCTGATATCCTTTTAGTTAATTTCAGAAGGAAAATGGGTCAAGCTTGAAAAAACAACGTACATGGATCCTACTGGTAAAACTAGGTAAACTTTGTTTTTTTCTTCTAAAACGTTCATTATTTGGGTTCTCAGGTTATCTGTTGAGTGTTTTGCATAAACTTTGATGTTTTCTTTGTAAAACTCTGTTTTAAATAAAAAATCGAATCTAGCCATTTTTCTAGTGATAGGATGTTTGGATCATTTTAAATTGCTGAATACAATTGGGTTGGAAATGTGTTACAGTAACTAATCAGAAAACTATTTTAATACAACTCTCCCTAAGTAGACAAGTGTAGACCTAAAACTTTTGGGCCAAACCTAATTGAAGCTGATAAAGTGACAGAATAATTAACAGTACATGTTTCTTCCTTCTAGTAAAATCAGTTTTTAATTTCTAAATTAGAAGAAATAAAGAGAAAACATTGCTAATTTTGAGGTACATGCCTGCCTCACGGAAATGCAAATCAGGAAAAAAATGTTTTATACAGCTTATTTCATAATATATGTCAATAGCCCTAAAGATATTGTGCCCTTTGACCTAGTAATTCCAGTTTTAAGAAAGTATTAAGGCCTGGGTGTGGTGGCTCACACCTGTAATCTCAGCACTTTGGGAGGCCGGGTGGTCCGGGGCAGCAGTCCTTTGAGGTCAGGAGTTCAAGACCAGCTTAGGCTACATGGCGAAACCACATCTCTACTAAAAGTACAAAAATTAGCCAGGCATGGTGGCATAGGCCTGTAATCCCAGCTACTCAGGAGGCTGAGGCAGGAGAATCACTTGAACCTGGGAGGTGGAGGTTGCAGTGAGCCAAGATCTTGCCAGCCTGGGTGGCAGGGTGAGACTGTCTCAAAAAAAAAAAAAAAAGAAAAAAGAAAGTATTAAGTAAATTAGTATTCAGAATTAAATTTATGTATAGAAAATGTTCACCAAAATTTTAAAAGACAGCAAATTTGAAAGCAACCTAAATATCTTAAAAATAGAAAATGAATTGTTATAGCATATTCCCTTGGTAAAATCTCTGCGGCCACCTAAGAAACAGATTCTGAAGACCACTGAGCAATATAGGAAAAGTTTATAAGTTGATCATAAAGAAGAAAAGTGTGCATATACTTTTTATACTCTGCCAAATAATGTGTAAGAAAAAGCCGGAAGGAAAATTATAGCGAAATAAGAAGCTATGTGATTAACCTTCTTTCTTTTACTTTCCAGATGTTTGCATAGTAATCTTTTGATATCATAAACTATCAGAAAAAAATAGTGTGAAAACAAATTTTTTAGTGAAATATAAAAAGGAATGAGAACAGAATGAGAACTACATTTAGTGACCGGATCACATGATACAAATTCATCAGTATGAAAACTCCACTTGCAAAGTGATCCAATAAGAGTACACGATTTCCTCGTAATGAAATATATCATCTAGCTGCAAATGCATGTATTTGCTAGTAATCTGAACAACTTTGATTATATCTACTAAACTAGCAGAGCCCTAATAAGGCCTAATGTAGGAGAGCTGTGGGAAAAATATTAAGAGATAGATAGCATTGTTGAACTAAAACCCAGCAGTAAGAAAGCTAAGCACAATATGATCCATTGACAGTGCAGCTCTTCACTTAAAATGCCAAGTGAGTTTGATATGGAGAACTAAATATGTGAAAGAAGTAGAGGCCAAACCCAATACAGAAATGTGGCAAGGCCCAAGTCTTAGGAAGCACTGTATGTTCAAATGTATTTATATTGTGAAAATACAGAGGTTGGAATCTAGTGTATAGTGATACAGTTTGGTTCTCTTTTTCCTATAAAATTAAGTTTATAACACAAAACATAGCCCTTAGTAGGTCTAAAGATGTGTTTGAGGCCAGGTACAGTGGCTCATGCCTGTAATCCCAGCACTTTGGTAGGCCGAGGCAGGTGGATCACTTAAGATCAGGAGTTTGAGACCAGCCTGGCCGACATGGTGAAACCCCATCTCTACTAAAAATACAAAAAATTCCAGCTACTTGGGAGGCTGAGACAGGAGAATTGCTTGAGCCTGGGAGGTGGAGGTTGCAGTGAGCCGAGATTATGCCACTGCACTCCAGCCTGGGCAACAGAGCGAGACTCTGTCTCAAAAAAAAAAAAAAAAAAGTGTTCGTACCAGCTCATCTCTTCGCCTGACTGGTCTTCTGCCTTTCCCGCATTTTGTAATCAGGGATGTACCTCAGAATCATAAATACTCACGACTAAGTCTCACTTCCAGAGCATCCGTTTCAGTAGATTGGGAGTGGGCTCTAAATCCACCAAACGACCATAGTTGTAGCATGTTCATGTCCATTCCTCCATACATAGGATTTTTTTCCTGGCCTCTGAGGAGGACTTAGATAAAGCATTAGTATTTCATAGCAGAATGTCAGGCTTTGAAGAATGAATCTTTGTACTTTCCAGTATGCCACGATTTGTAAGTTACAGGTTATGTTATCTGTGACCTGATATAAAAGCCTGTGTGTACAGGTTGAACGGCCCTGATCTGAAAATCAGAAATTCAAAATGCTGCAATATCCAAAACCTTTTCAGTGCCAACATGATGCCACAGGTGGAGAATTCCACACTTGACTCTATGTGACAGGTTGCAGTCAAAACACAGGCATACAACACAGAAATTCAGTGTCCTCAGGGGAAAAGGGACCCTCCCCTTCAGCTCAGATATAGCCTTCTTTTTTGTTGTTGTTGACGGAGTCTTGCTCTGTTGCCCAGGCTGGAGTGCAGTGGTGTGGTCTCAGCTCACTGCAGCCTCTACCTCCCAGGTTCAAGCGATTCTCCTGCCTCAGCCACTCAAGTAGCTGGGACGAGAGGTGTGTGCCACCATGCCCAGCTAATTTTTGTATTTTTAGTAGAGACAGGATTATTGGCTAGGCTGATCTCAAACTTGTGACCTCAGGTGATCTGCCCACCTTGACTTCCCAAAGTACTAGGATTACAGGCATGAGCCAACGTCTGACCATATCCTTAAATGTATTTAATTTTCATTTTTTTAGTAGAGACAGAGTCTTACTATGTTGCCCAGGCTGGTCTCAAACTCCTGAACCCAAGCAGTCCTCCTACCTTGGCCTCCCAAAGTGCTGGGGTTTCAGGCATGAGCCAACACACCTGGCCCAGTATATCCTCTGCACACACACACACCGACTTCCCTTCACATACACACCCACAGGGGATAATGAAATGGCATGTGTGCAGGCTGGATGCCTCTACAGCAGCTTCCCCACAACTCCCTATGTGGAGACAAGACCTACGTGCCTGACTCAGTGTGGGGTTCTTTTGCTTATTTTCTGCTCTACGGGGTAAAGATACCACTGAAAATGTCAGAAGGCCTGCATAAGACCCAGTGGGTAAGACCCAGATTTTTTCAAAATCTGAAAAACCAAAATCTGAAACACTTCTAGCCCCTGACACATTTCAGGTAAGGAATACTCAGCCTGTACAGCTGACGCTTGGAACCTGTCGGGTTGGTTCCAGGACCCCCTGCAGGTACCCAAATCCACAGATGCGCAAGTCCCTTGTGTGAAATTGCATATATTCAATATGTATTTGCATATAACCAATGTGCATCCTCCCATGTACTTCATCTGTAGATGAATCACAGTACCCAACACAATGCACATGCTTTTGTAAGCAATTGTTGTACTGTGTTGTTTAGGGAATAATGGCAAGAAAAAGTGCGTACATGTTCAGTACGGATGCAATTTTTTCCCCAAAGATTTCCAATTTGGTTGGTTAAATCCACAAATGCGGAACCCATGGATATGGAGGGCCAAGTCTAAGAGATCAAATAGCAACTAGAAAATCCTGTGTTCCACTGTCTCATTCATGAAAGGGGATGTGGAATTAATTTTAGAAATATAAAAATATTCCAGTGGTGCGTGCCTTTCTTGACATTCAACACAGTGCCGAAGTCACCCTCTGCGAGCCTCCCGCCTCTTGTGTTGGTGGACTAGAAGGAGGAAGGCCAGCTTTCCTGTAGCAAAGGAGACTAAGAATAGGGTGAGCTCACTGAAAGCAGAATCCTAAAGCTAGAAGAGGTTTCGGAGGTAACATACTCATTCCTGCTTTTTACAAAGGAGAGAAGAGTCTCCGGGAGGCTGGAGCGCTGGGCTTAGCTGGTAGGCAAACAGAGCTGACTTCCCATCAAGTGAACAGCTCACAGGCCCTTTGAGGTTGCTGGCGCTCTCACGGGGCAGTCTTGTTCCAAGATTTCTTATAAATGCGTTGATATTTTATTGTTCATGAATTATGGCTCGTTACTGCTTATTTACTTCACCATAACCACGATAATGATGCTCCTCTTTTTGTTTCCCTTATTCCTAGTGTTTGGGATGGGACCTTCAGTGCTTTTCCCAGCACTGTCTTCAGTCTTTAGGACTAACCTTAAGAGGCAGCAGAGAGAGCTATGCCAAAGGTGTTTCATCTCTTGCAGTCTGTATGATGTACTTACCGGCACTGCTTGTTGGTCGGCTCCTTGCTACTAACAGGCATGTTGGGCTGCTGTGAGTTGTCATAGTAGTCTGTTTGATTTTCCTGTGTTCATTTTGACGTATTTGCCCTTCAGAATTTGGGTACGATGCTGAAAGACCTACAATTTCCAGAAGTCTTTCTGTTTTGTTGTTTTAAAAACCAGATTAAATATTTGAACAATTTTAATGAAAAAGTGACAAGGTCCACATTTTAGGGACAGCCAGATAGAAAAGGAGGGTTCTTCCAAGGAGGAGATCTGGCAGCCCTTCCTATTGAGGATGCAGGTGGTAACTCCTTTCTATCCCAAACCCCAAAGCCACCCATGCCTCATTTCCTTTGGAAGAGATCCTGAAATTGTTTGCTGAGCGGTCTCTTAGCACTGCTTTTTTCTATCGTAGGGAGAAGAGAGTGAAGGGGGAATGTTTCTTTTATGCCTCTACCCTTTCAACTGCATTAATTGTTTCAGTAACTGGGTTTCCTGTACAACTGTGCCCCTCGTTCAAAGCCAGAAAGTAGAATAGCACAGATGTTGCCCCAAAACTGAATGGGGTAATAGAAACAAATAGCTAACCAGGAATAAAGCCATACAAGAGAGCAGGACCGTACTGTTACTCGGCTCACTTTTTCTAGATAAGATCTCACACATGCAAAGTAGAGCACTTGCCTACATTTAACAATTCTTCCATTCATAAATGGGAACGTTCTACTTTCCTAAATTGTATATTTTAGGTCACATTTTAAAAATCAGAATTATATAAAAATCTCAGTAATTCATGCTGTGCACAGTAGCTTTTTTTATTCTTAGAGATGGGATGAGATTTTTCCTATGGCTTCATGTGCATTACCTGCTTATTAATCCGTCACTGGCTGTGCTCCTTGCCCAAAGACAGAGAATCCAAACTAAAGTGTTCCGAGAAGGCGGCAGCTCACATGCTCAGCAGGCTTTCTGTTTCAGGGGCACCCAGAGGCTGAGGTGCAGGGTGGCAAGAATTTTCATTGTTAATTTTCAGAAGCTATTTTAATGCAGACCTTTATTGCTGTGGTCTTCTTGACCAATATCATGAGTACATTTGCATGCATTGCATTTAAGAAGTTCTGGTTGTACACAGAAAACCTAAGATAGTTCTCCTCTTGAGCACTAACAACTTTTTTTCTTCTCTGCCTGAACAGAACTTGGGAATCAGTGAAACGTACGACCAGGAAAGAACAGAGTGCTGATGGTAGGAGCGCAAACCTATTCCAACCTGTCAGAAAGGAACTTAGCGCTGTGATTGTAAGAGGGGTTTTGATGGAACCAAGTTATCTTCCGTATGATGTTGTATCTTTTTTCTTTTTTTTTTTTTTTGAGACAGAGTCTGGTAGAGCGAGGCCAGGCATGGTGGCTCACGCCTGTAATCCCAGCACTTTGGGAGGCTGAGGCAGGTGGATCACGAGGTCAGGAGTTCAAGACCAGACTGGCCAACATGGTGAAATCCTGTCTCTACTAAAAACAAATTTTAAAAAAATACAAAAAAATTAGCTGGGCATGGTGGCTTGTGTCTGTAATCCTAGCTACTTGGGAGGCTGAGGTAGGAGAATTGCTTGAACCAGGACCCGGCGGGGGCAGAGGTTGCAGTGAGCCAAGATCGTACCACTGCACTCCAGCCTGGGCTACAGAGTGAGACTCCATCTCAAAAAAAAAAAAAAAAAAAAAAAAAGAAAGAAAGAAAAGAAATTGTTTATAGCCATTACTGGGAGGGAAAAAAAAAAAGATAAGAGTCTTGCTCTGTCGCCCAGGCTAGAGTGAAGTGGTGCAATCTCGGCTCACTGCAGCCTCCACCTCCCGGGTTCAAGTGATTCTCCTGCCTCAGCCTCCCAAGTAGCTAGGATTACAGGTGCCTGCCACCACGTCCAGCTAATTTTCTGTATTTTTAGTAGAGATGGTTTTGCCATGTTGCCCAGGCTGGCTTCGAACTCTGGATCTCAGGCAATCCACCTACTTCAGCCTCCCAAAGTGCTGGGATCAAAGGTGTGAGCCACCGCACAAACCTATGATGTTGTAGCTTAAATCTCCTATTAGTTTTGCCATGCTTCATAACTAAATCAAGCTTTCTTTATAAGTAACTTCTGTCTTCTCTTATATATGCTCAGAATGGTGTTTTTGAGGAGAGGTTGTTCTAATGTTTATAACTAATTGTAAATTAGCATAATTTGAAGCCACACACTGTGTCTAGATGTGTTATGACTTCTAGAAGTCCTTGCATCCTATTGAAAGGATCTGGGCAAGAGCCTTTAGTTTGGAAAAGTTACTTGGCACAGACTTACGCTTGTGGGCCACTTGCTTACAAGTTGGTGAAGACATGAAATCGGGCAAAGCCCATTCCGTTCACCTTCCCCTCCAGGCATGAATGCCTTAACTGCAAAGAGCCCAGAAACCATCTTGAGAATCACTTCTGGTTGAGAGCAGGTTGGACACTAGGCTTTTCTTAGTGTTCCATTTGGTTTTGGTTTCTGTTTTTGCTGGAAGCAAACAGTAGCTGGGTGACAGCTGCTGGGCTTCACAGATAGAACTGTGGGAGCCAGGGCTCCCTCCTGGGTGCTTTGTGTTTTTGGAAACCCAGTTGTTTTTGTTTTATTTTATTTACTTATTTTTTTAATGGAGTCTTGCTCTTGTTGCCCAGGCTGGAGTGCAATGGGGCGATCTTGGCTCTCCACAACCTCCACCTCCCGGGTTCAAGCAATTCTCCTGCCTCAGCCTCCCGAGTAGCTGGGATTACAGGCACCCGCCACCACGCCCAGCTAATTTTGTATTTTTAGTAGAGATGGGGTTTCTCCATGTTGGTCAGGCTGGTCTCAAACTCCTGACCTCAGGTGATCCGCCAGCCTCAGCCTCCCAAAGTGCTGAGATTACAGGCATGAGCCACTGCACTGGCCTATTTTTGTTTTTCTTATGTTTTGATGAAGGACCAGTAACTTGAGAGAAAGGTCTTTTACCCCAAAACCCTGAAATCAGTCTTGCTAGCATTTATTGCAAACAGTGGAACTTACTTGATTTATTGCCCAGAGTTGACTCAGGAGCACAGGGATGGCTGTGGCCTCACCTGTGCTAGAGCTGCCTCAGGCTGGGAAGCAATTCTGTGGAAGGTTGGTGGAGGCAGAAACCTTACGTCCTTGACCCTGTAGGAAATGTTTGTTTCAGTTCTGAATTTAGTTTAAAGAAATTGTGACAATTAAACAGGCTTTTTGTTTAAAAAAGAAAAGGTAAACAACATAGAAGCAATTCCTTTTAACTGCATTTTTAAAATAGCTTCCAAGATTAACTGCCAGTATTGTAGATGGAATCAGAGTTTCTTAAAATCTGGGGTTTTCATTAGCTTGCTCTAAACCACATGCTGGCGTTGCTGACCTCTCATCAGGGATTCCTTGGTTCCACTTCCTGGTGACAGGTGTAGCGGTCATCCCTGTCCTACAGAGAACACTTCACTACGAGTGTATCGTTCTGGTGAAACAGTTCCGACCACCCATGGGCGGCTACTGCATAGAGTTCCCTGCAGGTGAGTCACTCAGCACTGAATTGCTTCTCAGGGATGTGGGCCTGAACCACGGTAAAGCCTGAGAATTGCAAAGCTGAGCTCTGCAGTTTTCATCTGTCCTTGTGGTTCCAAGTAAAACTAAACCATTTCATAGTGAGGCTCCTCCAGGCCCCCAGGACACCCCAACAACTCTCTGAACCCATGAAGGTGACGCAAGGCCACCTCTCACCCGTCCCACCTCCTCCTGGCCACGCTGTCTCCAGCCTTTTGAGTAATTGCTCTTCCCCAGTTTGTCGGCTTATTTCATTGTCTGTCACTAGCAATCTGCTTCGACAGGACATTTTCAATAAGTAGGCCAGGCTTTTTTTGTTTAGTGCTGTGGCATGATCTTGGCTCACTGCAACCTGTGCCTCCTGGGTTCAAGCGACTCTCTTGCCTTAGGCTTCCAAGTAGCAGGGATTACAGGCATGCGTCACCACACCTGGCTAATTTTTGTATTTTTAGTAGAAAACAGGGTTGCACCATGTTGGCCAGGCTGGTCTTGGACTCCTGACCTCAAATGATCCACACACCTTGACCTCCTAAAGTGCTGGGATTATAGCCTAGGCCAGGCCCTTAAGTCCAAAAAATATGAATGGAGGAGACAGTTTGCTCTGCCCTATGGAAACAGGCCAAGGAGACTCTTCATTTCAGCTAGAATATTTTTGTCCATTGCACAGTAATTAAAGAGCGCCATAATTTATTGCCCTGTATTTTTGTAGGACTTTATTGGATTGTTCCCATCTAAAGAGATTAAATCTCATCTGTTTGTTATTAGTGGAATACGTTTTATTATTATTATTATTATTATTATTATTATTATTTTGAGACAGAGTCCTGCTTTGTTGCCCAGGCTGGAGTACATCTTGGCTTACTGCAGCCTCCGCCTCCTGGGTTCAAGAGATGCTCCTGCCTCAGCTTCCTGGGTAGCTGGGACTACAGGCAAGAGCCACCATGCCCATCTAATTTTTGTATTTTTAGTAGAGATGAGGTCTCACCATGTTGGCCAGATTGGTCTCGAACTCCTGACCTCAGGTGATCCACCTACCTTGGCCTTAAAAAGTGCTGGGATAGGGCCGGGCGCGGTGGCTCAAGCCTGTAATCCCAGCACTTTGGGAGGCCGAGGCGGGTGGATCACGAGGTCGAGAGATCGAGACCATCCTGGTCAACGTGATGAAACCCCGTCTCTACTAAAAATGCAAAAAATTAGCTGGGCATGGTGGTGTGTGCCTGTAATCCCAGCTACTCAGGAGGCTGAGGCAGAATTGCCTGAACCCAGGAGACGTAGGTTGCGGTGAGCCGAGATCGCGCCATTGCACTCCAGCCTGGGTAACAAGAGCGAAACTCCGTTTCAAAAAAAAAAAAAAAGTGCTGGGATTACAGGCCTGAGCCACCACACCCAGCCAAGGTTTTATGTTTTAAAAGGCTAGCCAATGGTAACTTACGGTTAACAACTACCATTTTTCTCATTTCCTCACCATGTTACTGAAGGCTATTTCTTTTTTTCTTTTTTTTTTGAGATGGAGTTTCACTCTTGTTGCCGATACTGGAGTGCAGTGGCACGATCTCAACTCACTGCAGCCTCCGCCTCCCGGTTTCAAGCAATTCTCCTGCCTCAGCTGTCTTGAGTAGCTGGGATTACAGGCATGTGCCACGATGCCCAGCTAATTTTGTATCTTTATTAGAGACGGGATTTGTCCATGTAGGTCAGGCTGGTCTTGAACTCCCAACCTCAGGTGATTTACCTGCCTCGACCTCTCAAAGTGCTGGTATTACAGGCGTGAGCCACTGCGCCCAGCCAGGCTATGTAATTACCTCTAATGTTAACATTAATACTTTCTTTTCTTTGAGATGTGGTCTCTGTTGCTGAGGCTGGAGTGCTGTGGCACCATCACAGCCCATTGCAGCCTCGATCTCCCAAGACTGAGGTGATCCTCCACCTCATTTTTTGTATTTTTTGTAGAGACGGGGCTTCACCATGCTGCCCAGGCTGATCTCCAACTCCTGGGCTCAAGGGATCTCCCACCTCAGCTTCCCAAAACGCTAAGATTACATGCGTGCGCCACCATGCCTGGGCTCTTTTTGTGAGACTGTGTCTTGCTCTGTTGCCCAGGCTGAAGTTCAGTGGCATAATCACAGCTCACTGCAGCCCTGACCTTCTGGGCCCAAGCAAACCTCCTGCCTCAGCTTCCTGGAACTTCCTCAGCTGGAACTGCAGGCGTGCATCACCCCATTTGACTTTTTTTTTTTTTTTTTTTTGAGATGGAGTCTCGCTCTGTTGCCAGGCTGGAGTGCAGTGGCGTGATCTCAGCTCGCTGCAACCTCCAACTCCCTGGTTCAAGAGATTCTCCTGCCTCAGCCTCCTGAGTAGCTGGGACTACAGGCACGTGCCACCACACCCAGCTAAATTTTCTATTTTTAGTAGAGACAGGGTTTCACCATGTAGGCCAGGACGGTCTCGTCTCCCAACCTCGTGAACCACCCGCCTCAGCCCCACAAAGTGCTGGTATTACAGGCATGAGCCACCATGTTCAGCCCATTCAACTAATTTTTAAGTTTTTTGTAGAGATGGGGTTTTGCTGTGTCACCAGGATGTTCCCAAACTCCTGGCCTTAAGTGATCCCCTGCCTGAGCCTCCCAAAGTGCTGGGATTACTGGTGTGAGCCACCGTGCCCAGCCAGTTTTTCATTATATTTTTTAATTCCTTTCAGGAAAAAGAGTCTGCATTGCTGCTCCCTTTCTCCTCGTTGGCCTCTCTGTTCACTCCTCACAGTGGCCATGGGCATCCCCTAACCTTCACCAGTTCAGTTTGCTCCTTTCTGACCACCTATTGCCAGGCCTCAGTGTTTTGTTGTGAGGGAGGAAGACAAGATAGGTGACACTGTCAGCATCCTCCATGTCAGGAAGCAGAGTATGAACAGGCTACCTGTGCTGCAGACACACAGCACGCTCCCAGGCCTACGCCAGTCGGCCACCACCAAGTCACGGCTCCTCTCAGATGCTGCCCATGCTGTGCAGAGCAGCGTGGAGACGGTCAGGAAGGATCTGGGTCTGAATCGGAGGACTGGGTGATGCCACCGGAACCTCGTTACTCTGCCCAGAGTTTTATTATTTTGCCTTTTTGTTTCTATAAAAATTCCAGGCTGGACACGGTGGCTTGTGTCTGTAATCCCAGCACTTTCGGAGGCTGAAGTGGGTGAATCACTTGAGGCCAGGAGTTCGAGAGCAGCCTGGCCAACGTGGCGAGACTAAAAATGCAAAATTAGCCTCTATTAAAAATACAAAAATTAGCTGGGCATGGTGGCACACACCTATAGTCCCAGCTACTTGGGAGGCTGAGGCAGGAGAATCACCTGAAACCGGGAGGTGGAGGTTGCAGTGAGCCGAGATCGCACCGCTGCATTCTAGCCTGGGCAACAGAGTAAGACTCCATCTCAAAAAAAAAAAAAAAAAGTTCCAATCCTTAGGTTTCTCTGCAAGACCACTTTTCACAGTGCTCTGATTCTTGTAACATAGTGCAGCACCCACTGCGTTAGTAGAATGAGGGGTTCAAAGAAAACTAGATTTCCCGCTCCCAACATGGCGATGCTTTGGACTTCCAGGTCTCATAGATGATGGTGAAACCCCAGAAGCAGCTGCTCTTCGGGAGCTTGAGGAAGAAACTGGCTACAAAGGGGACGTTGCCGAATGTTCTCCAGGTTGGTATTGGTTGAAAATTCACCAAGCAATAGACTCCTCAGGGTGGGAAGGGATTATTTGGGTATTCTTTATGCTGAGAATTCACTGAAGAGGAGTTATAGATTAGGATTGGTTACCAAGTATAAGTGAGTCTCCCTGCCCAGGAGGAAATTGGAGGCAGAAGGGCCTGAAGTTGAGGGAGAATTAATGAAATTAAATTCTCTCTTGGCCAGGTGCGGAGGCTCATGCCTGTGATCCCAGCACTTTGGGTGGCCAAGGCAGGTGGATCACCTGAGGTCAGGAGTTCAAGATCAACATGGTGAAACCCTGTCTCCACTAAAAATGCAAAAATTAGCTGGGTTATGGTGGTACATGCCTGTAATCCCAGCTACTCGGGAGGCTGAGGCAGAAGAATCGCTTGAACCTAGGAGGCAGAGGTTGCAGTCAGCCGAGATCAAGCCACTGCACTCTAGCCTGGACAGTGAGAGTAATGTGAAACTCTGTCTCAATCAATAAATAAACACAGTCTTTTGGAATTTCCCACACCCTGAGCTTTACTGCTCACCCACCTGATCCTTGTGCCACCCTCGTCACTGGGCCTCCCAAAGTGCTGGGATTACTGGTGTGAGCCACCAGTAATTTTCACCTTGATGTGGTAAAGAGATTTTACAACTTGTCAGTACCGGGAGCTCTGGGGAGAGTGTGGGTACCCAAATGCTTTGCAGCCTGTAGGTCTGCTGACCCAAAGTGAGAGCTAGTTTTCCTACATCACCTCCACGTCCACTCTGAGCTGCGAGACCCATCTTCCTAAGATTAGTAGCAAAACAAAAGACAAAGGGACTGAGGCATCTGTCCCTTCTCTCCACCACAGCTGTCTGTATGGACCCAGGCTTGACAAACTGTACCACACACATTGTAACAGTAACCATTAACGGAGATGATGCCGAAAACCTAAGGCCCAAGCCAAAGCCAGGTACGTGCGCATTGGCCATGTTGAAGGAGGTGATGCGGTTGCGCTGAGTGTGTTGGAACTTGCTGCTAGTTTAATTTAGTAAAACAATGTAATCTTTCATGGAAAGAATCGGCTTTCAAACAGACTTCATCAGTATTCTTGTCTCTTCCTAATCATGTTTTTTAGCGTATTTCTTTTACCACTTCATTGGTCTTCATGCTTTGTAGAAAAAGTTAAATGACCTATTTCCCTGTTTTCTGTATGAAGTGTATCCCCACCTACTAATACGAGCTGCAGGCTTCAGTAGTGAACAGTGAGAAACTTCAGTGGTTTCTGTTTTCACATATATTGTAAGAATGGTGGAAGTTCTGCTGCAGTCCCAGCTGCTGTGGAGGCTAAGGCAGGAGGGTCGCTTAAGCCCAGGAGTTAGAGGAGCTATGATGGTGCCACTCCACGACAGAATGAGACCTTGTCTCTCAAAAAAAGGCCTAAGTAGGGGCGGGCGCGGTGGCTCACGCCTGTAATCCCAGCACTTTGGGAGGCCGAGGCGGGTGGATCACGAGGTCAAGAGATCGAGACCATCCTGGTCAACATGGTGAAACCCCGTCTCTACTAAAAATACAAAACATTAGCTGGGCATGGTGGCGCGTGCCTGTAATCCCAGCTACTCAGGAGGCTGAGGCTGGAGAATTGCCTGAACCCAGGAGGCGGAGGTTGCGGTGAGCCGAGATCGCGCCATTGCACTCCAGCCTGGGTAACGAGTGAAACTCTGTCTCAAAAAAAGAAAAAAGGCCTAAGTAATTGTTAATATATCAGTGATGTTCTTTACTTTCTTATCCTCTTCAGTTGTACATATTTATGTTTCAGTATCCCACTGCAACTAATTTTAAGTCTTAATTTTTGCCAGATGTAGTGGCTCACACCTGTAATCCCAGCACGTTGGGAGGCTGAGGTGGGCAGATAACTTGAGGTCAGGAGTTCGACATAAGCCTGGCCAACATGGTGAAATCCTGTCTCTACAAAAATTAGCTGGGCATGGTGGTACACACCTCTTCTCCCAGCTACTCAGGAGGCTGAGGCAGGAGAATTGCTTGAACCCGGGAGGTGGGGGCTGCAGTGAGTCAAGATCACACCACTGCACTCCAGCCTGAGCAATAGAGTGAGACCCTGTCTCCCATAAATGTATAAATAAATCTTAATTTTTGAACTGCAAATATACATATGACACACTGTGGTAAAGTTTGGCAGTTCCTCAGAATATTAGAAATATTTTATGACCTGGCATTTCAACTGCTAAGTCTATACCTAAAAGAATTGAAAAAGGACTCAGATATTTGTTTGTCTGTGTTCATGGCAGCCTCTGTGGAAATAACCCAAGTGTCTGTCAGCAGATGAATTGCATACACAAAATGTGGTACACACACACACACACACACACACACACACACGTACACACACACACACAGACGCACAGAGACACAAAATGTGATATACACACACACATAGGAAGGCACTCACATGCTAGAATATTCTTCCACCCTAAAGAATGAAACATGTGACAACATGGATAAACCTTGAAAACACTGTGCTAAGTGAAATAAGCCAGACACAGAAGGGCAAATGTTGTGATTCTACGTAGGCGAGGTGCCCAGAATGGACACACTGATAGAGAAAGGCAGTAAAGGCTGTTAGGGGTGGGGAATTGGTGTTGAATGGATACCGAGTTTCTGCTGGGGGTAGTGAAAGGTTCTGGAGATGGATACTGGTGGCTGCATACCATTCTGAATGTTACTTACTGTCACTAAATTGTACCTTCAGAGTGGTTCAAATGGTAAGTTTTTATATGTTCTGTATATTTTACCATAGTATGCAGATTCATATCTACTAAAATTACACATAGAATATGCTTTAAATTTTGCTCCTAAACATTACGTGGAGAATAACTTCGTACTGTTTAACGATGTATATAAATTACGTTAGCAGAGACCCAGGTTTCTGTGAAGTTCTCAAAGCCTTTTCGATGCCTCTTGCATAAAAGCCTTCCAATGTGACCACTCCAGGCCTTGCTGAAATGTTCTCCTTCTGTTTATTTCCAGGGGATGGAGGTACGTTCTGCAACTCCTGGTGGCCGAGCGTGTGTGGCTAGTGGAGTGGTAATGGCTGCAGACGTTTTGGGTTGTTTTGGTAGGCTCTGGACGTTAGCTTTGTTTTCACTTGCACTTTGTCTGTTTAGAGTTTGTGGAAGTCATTTCTTTACCCAAGAATGATCTACTGCAGAGACTTGATGGTAAGCATTCTCCAGACCGTCACCCAGCTTCCTCCAGTTTTCCCCATTCCCATCCCAGCAAATTGGGTTCTAAATATAACTCCGTTTCTTTATCTTTTCTGTATCACTAAGGTCACATGCCTAGAAACTTGTAAAACTGCAGTTGACCACTACTGATTTTCCTTTCTGAGTGGCACAGAGGGTGAAAACAGGGGCAAAGCATTCAAGTGCAAGCTTTTGGTAGGGGCTTTTTCTCCTGCAGAACGGTCCAGGTGACACTGCTGCTGAGTTGCCGAAACGATCTACACTTTAAACCTTCAATCCATAGTGATGCAGAGGCGTGGGTAGATAGACTGTTAGCTTTTCCTCAACCACGCTAATACGACAGACGGTCCTCTGTGGAGGGTATAAGTTTAAGGAGAAATTGAAAATATTCCTTCCACAAATACTTGAGGCAGCTCCAGTATACTCGGTGTGATATGTTCTTCACATATAAACCAAACTAGCTGTGTGGCCCTTTGAGATCGCTGGTCATGTAGAGTCATCGTATAATTCTTGGCTAGCCCACCTTTTAGGGACTTTGTAAACAGTAAGTAAGCTTATGGGGAGAGAAGTCCTTGATAAAACCACAAGAGGAGATACTGTATGGAGACATGGCATGGGCCCATGAAGGAGCACCTCTGACCTGGCTGCGAAATCCCTTTTCACTCATCCATACAGAGGCAGACATGTTTCATCATGTGAATATTTTATTGAGTCTAAGTGTTTTACATAATTGATACCTGATTTTTCTACTGTTTTTAAGTGATTACTTCAAATGTGACCTGAAGCACTGTTTGACCTGAAGCTTTAGGACCAGCTTCTGAAGCTTTTCCCCGAGCATCAGTGGCTTACAGTTTTAATAAGCAGAGCGCCTGGTTTTGAAATGTCTGTTGTTTGTCTGAAAATTAGAATAGATCTTTCAAAGGCTGCTGTCATTTCTTTGTATAAAATCAAACTTCAGATCCCTAGACAGCTTCCACTCCTGCTCCACCTTTCTAAAAACTAGACCTAAGGTGAAAGCCAGCTTGACAGCTCAAAGCTAGAGTTAGGCAATCAGACTGAAGAGACACAATAATTTATCAGGTAAGTATTTAGAGAAAGCCATGGCAGTCAATACAGGCAGTGCAGCTCGGTGCAACAGGCCAGCTCGGTTTGAGGCTCGGGTTTGAGGCTCTGCTGACCATAATTAGCTATCATGTCAAACAGGTTCTGTAGCCTCTCTCAGCTGTTTTCATAAAACAGGAACAAAATAGACAGCCCCTCCTTCTGAGGAGGTGTGTAAAAAGTAGGATGCTGTAGGCAAGCGTGAAATGCCTTGCGTAGTTATTTTTTTAGTAGAAGAATATCCTTTTTTAAATAGTGTTCCTTCTCCCTTCCACCTAACTTCACTTCCCTTTTGGTCTTAGAAGAGGGAGAAAAAACAGTAAGAGATGGGAGTGGAGAGAGGGCTACTATGGCTCTAAAGGAGGAAGGATAAAAGAACCAAATTGGCTAGCTTTAGTACAATCAAAATACAGCAAACCGTTTATTCAACAAGCAACATTTGAGAAGTCACAAGGAAGGTAGTGTACTTTAAGATGAGTTTGCTGGCCATGAACGGTCTTCACGCCTATAATCCCAGCATTTTGGGAGGCCAAGGTGGGCAGATCCCTTGAGGTCAGGAGCTCCAGACCAACCTGGCCAACATGGTGAAACCCCATCTCTACTAAAAATACAAAAATTAGTTGGGTGTGGTGGTGCACGCCTGTTATCCCAGCTACTCAGGAGGCTGAGGCAGGAGAACTGCTTGAACCAGGGAGGTGGAGGTTGCAGTGAGCCGAGATCGCACCACTGCACTCCAGCCTGGTGATAGATACAGTGAGATTCCATCTCAAAATCAATTTGCTACAAAGAGAAGCATCTACCAGTTACCAAGCACCTGCTGTGCCCAGGTAAACAGGACATGCTCCCTGCCTGCCGATGTCCCCAAGCTTGTTCCCAAGAAAGTAGCTAGGGAAACGAGGCTGATTTTACATCTGGCAGCCTCCGAGTGAAACAGAAATTTTAATGAAAGCCCATGGTAACGAGATTCTGAAACCTCATTCTTGGTAGTATACCTCCAGTCCTAACATGCACACCATTTAACTTGCCAGGGGAGATTATGTATCCCCTTGCAGCGGAAAAGACATGTGAATCCCTAAGATCCTATATAATCATCCCCATCGAGTTTCAGAACAGCAGATCCCTACCCCAGCTATAAATGAGGTATAGTGACTGGCTCTATAAACTTCCAACTCTGCCGTTTTAACACATCAAATCATTATGCCTGATGTTCTTTTCTCCTGCTAGGAATGTAATCTTGCCTTTATAGTCTTTATTCTTTGACTAAGATCCTTACAGGCAAAAAAAAAAATGTATCACCAGCATCTAGCGTAGGAACTGGCGTATAGTACTTACTCCACAAATACTGACTAAGATGTTTTGTCCTTCATTAACCGCAGGAACTAAGATGTTTTCTTTGCTTTCCACAGCTCTGGTAGCTGAAGAACACGTTACAGTGGATGCCAGAGTCTATTCCTACGCTCTAGCGCTGAAACATGCAAATGCAAAGCCATTTGAAGTGCCTTTCCTGAAATTTTAAGGCCAAAGATGACGCTGGCCATTTTTGTAAACGAGACCACCAGGCCTTCTTCACTAAGACTTTGTCTTCAACTTAGCTTAATGTAGACTTGAAATTAGCTTTTTCATAAAATAAAAGGAGCACAGAATGCATGTGGTGGTATGGAATTATAATTACAGGTAGGTTGTGACCTTTTAAATTCGTTAAACTCCAGCCAAAATTAACGAAAAACAATATAAATGCAAGTACGTTTACTCCAACTTTTTAAAGCTCAACAGCAGTTAATGACAACTCAATTACTTTTCTAGTCTAGACTGGTAGACAGGGGTATTTGTATGGGAAAACAGACCTAAGTTCCCAATTAGCTCAAATATTTCCACTCTCTACCCCCAGTATAAAAAATTCTATAGCTGGGTATGCAAATAACCCTATACTCCATTTGTGTTAAAAAGAGCTTTAAAAAGAAAAAAAGTGCCTGCCATCAAGTTAAAGAAAAAAAAGGACTTTTTGGCCTCTTCTAACTGAATTTTTACTATGCACAATTCAGCTAGGGTAGCTGAATCCAAATAGGGTAGGATTCAATAGAATCCTCTACTAGTTTTAAGTCCACCTATTTACTGAAAGCTGAACCAGCTTTTAAGTAAGGAAAATGGTTGATTCCATTCACTACATCAAGGCTAGAAGACTAAGGAGAATTCAGGGCCATCCCTCAGGCTTCTGCATATACTTTAGGGTCTCTTTTCCCATCCTTACCTCAAAGACTATTAGAAGTTTCTGAAAACAAATCTTTTAAGACTGACATGGTTTGGGGCACTATTATCTTGATGTTAAACCATGAACAGGACCAGCAAGATTAGCCAGTACCTGAAACCCAACACAGAGTACTTCAGAGCAAGAAGTGCAGGTTGACTCTGGTTCCCATGCCTGAAACTGTCACCCAGCAGCTCTCCTAGTGTTGCTGGGCTATTTTCTTTGCCTCTTGAGTAAGTTTAGCTCCTTTTGTGTTGACTTTTTGGCCTCCAGCAGTTCCATGATTTTCCAGGACTCTTCAGTCTGGCCCCACAGAAGTCTCAGGATGATTCTCATCCAGCCATAAGTCATGTTTCTAGCCTGGATCTGGGGGGCAAGCCAGGCCCCAAGAATCATATAAAAGGGTTCTCTAGATATGCCAGAATGCTACGATGTCATCGATCTGTCCTCAGGCTCACTGTCTGACCCAAAGATACTTTTATGAGTCAAACTCTGAGATCTTTACACTGGTCTTCTTAAAGGTAACAATTATGGAAATATAGAACTTTATAGATGAAGTTATCTAGCCCTATACATGTGAAAACTAAGATCCAACTACTTCCTATAATGGTAGCCTTCCCCTATACCTCTAACCCTTTTTTTAAATCCTGATTTCAATCACAGTCATTGTGATTGTCCAAAGCTCTAGCCCTTCCTTCAGCTCTCAAGGCCACATCCTGTAAGTGAAACCGAGAGAGATGGCATCTGGAGATGGGCACAGCCCAGTATTTCCACATTGCCCAGTTCCTCCCCAGCCACTCCCCACGGGAATGACCTCTGCAGCTGACCTCTGTCCTTCGCTTCTTCCTAAGAGTGCAACTTAGTGTGACAGCCAAATCCTAGAATGTAACTCTAAATGCCTTTTTTTTTTTTTTTTTTTTAAATAAACGTGAGAAAGTTGTGCTTTGGAAATTAAGTCTGTTTGAGAACTGGCAGTCCAGCTGGCATTGTTTAAAAATTCGCCATGCATTTAAAAACTGAAGGTTTCCTATGTATTAAAAGCCTTATTTCCACCAAAAAATTGACATAACAACATTGGGTAGATGTTTTTACGGTCACAGTGGTCTGGGGCCCTTGGGAGATGTTCTCCAATGAGCCATTGTTCATGTCCTGCCTGCCTTTATCTGCCTTGCCCCTGTAATTATTTGGCTTTGTAAGCATAAGCTAAATAAGAGCTACTATACTTAAGAAAGTACCATACTTCTGAAAAGGGTCTCCTTTAAAAATTAAGTTTGATCTTTTGAGAAATAAAGCACATAGTTTTTAAAGTGACTTACCAAAAACTATGCACTTTCAAATGCAGACTGGGGTATTTGCTTTGAGGCCAGTTTTCCTGTTCCCTCCCAAATGTTAGTCACAGATTTGAGTACCCTTAAGTTGATCACTGTCCCTCAATAATTTAGGATTAAAGCTCTAAGTGTAATTACATTTGACTTTTAATAGGCATCTCAGGGTGGACTTTATGAATACACTGAACCTCTACATATTCTAAGAAAAAACATTTAATATCAGATTTCTTTTTTTTTCCAACACAACTGAATCAGTTTTCTTAAATAAAAGTTTATTGTCTACTGTTTACACTAATGTTGCTGCTGTAAGTACAACAGACACAAATTCCTAGCATGAATTACTCATTGTTCACCCCCACTGAACTACAGGCATTGCTGGAGAATTCGATCTTTGCTTTAGGGATTTAAACAGAAAAGAACTGGGGCCTATAATCTCGAAAGAGTCTTCTCAAGTGACTGGTTGGAGTTAGAAGGCATAGCCAGTACAGGCCAACAGCACTGATGATGCTGCCACTGGGAAAAGAAGAGGAAGAGGCCTTAGAGGCAGCTGTGACTAGTAACAGAACTAACTGGAGACTTGATTTTGCCCGTGTCGGCTAAGTGGCTGCTTTGAGAAGGGAAAAATAAAAATGAGGTGGGGATGGGGAGTGGGGATACCATGAGTTTAAAAAGTATAAAAAGTAATTATCTAAAATATAGATTAGATATAAATGTTCCAGAACTCATTAAATAAGCGCAAAAATACTGGAAAGTGGCAATTTGAACTACATTTATTTTTAAACAAGTGGGGGCAATATTAAGTGTTTTGAATGTTGTGTGCAAAACTAATCCATGTCACCATCTCACTGTCATGATTTAACACAGCAAGGTAGATACACTGGTTTCCAGCATTACAGGCAACACTAGATGTACGTTTTTTAGCGAATAATGTAAACTTGAGTTTTAAGGCAGCGGGTACTAATGCTGCGCAGACTTAGCTCGGTGCCCGTTTCAGAAACAGGTCAGTCAGCACTTGAAACAAGAAACTGTGAGGGGAGAAAAGGGAGCCACCGGTGTCATGTGACAAAAACGATCTGTCAAAATGTTTTCCCTTACACACGCACAAAATGAAATATTTGAACATTTAGAAAAACAAAGCACCCATCCCACCAACTTCGGCCTGTTCTTTCACAAATATTTCAAAATACTGATAGATAATAGTGACTGCTAGCAGAATTCCAGTGCCGGATCCAATGGCCCCCAGGAAGTCGGCCAGCACCGACAGGGCACCAATGCACAAACCGCCAAACGCAGCCGCGGTGGGGATGTACCTAGGAGACAGAACCCCGAGTTAGGCGGCAGCGAGACCATGAACAGCACAGCAGCTAGAGAAGAGACAGGCCAAGGCGCAGCAGCCATGGTTGTGTCTAAAGCCTCCCTGAACTGCAGAAGGAACAGGCCACCATGGGGAGGGGTACGCAGGACACAGCATGGGAATGGGAGCTCAGATCCAGGCAGAGATTCCGACCCTAACCAGTCAACAGCTGAGAAAGACGATGCATGATCTTACAGGAGACTAGATTCCTGGACAGATTTAAATATTAAAATGTTTAATATTTTTAAATGAGTAACCTTTCATTCCCTCTTGTGTTGTGGAATGAAGAGTAAGTTCAAAATGCTAAGTATCAACATAAGATTTTGATGATCCACTTCAGCAATTCAACCTCGGCTGCACATTAGAATCACCCAGAAGACTTAAAAATGGGATTTAACATACTCAAAAAAGCTTAAACGCGGAGATAGATGAAACAAGAACAGCAGGATGATGAAAAATGGAGCTGGAGATTCATCATACTACTCTGCAGGCTGTGTTCTAAATAAACAAAGTTTGTAAAAATACTAATGCCTTTTCAACAAATGGTGCTGGGACAACTAGATACCCACATGCAGAAGAAGGAATCTGGATCCCACTGGGCGCAGTGGCTCAAGCCTGTAATCCCAGCACTTTGGGAGGCTGAGGCAGGCAGATCATGAGGCCAGGAGTTTGAGATCAGAGTCTGAGGTGGGCAGATCGTGAGGTCAGGAACTTGAGATCAGCCTGGCCAAAAAAGTAAAACCCATCTCTACTAAAAATGCAAAAATTAGCCAGGCATGGTGGCAGGCACCTGTAGTCCCAGCTACTTGGGAGGCTGAGGCAGGAGAATCACCTGATCCCAGGAGGTGGAGGTTGCAGTGAGCCAAGACCATGCCACTGTACTCCAGCCTGGGCATCAGAGAAAGATTCTGTCTCAAAAAAAAAAAAAAAAAAAAAAAAAAAGGAATCTGGATCCCTAACTCACACCAAACAAAAAAATTAACTCAAAGCAGATCACAGGCCTAAATGTAAAAACTGAAATTCCTAGGATAGAGGAATAAATTTTAGTGGCCTTGGGTTTGGTTAGATAAACACCAAAAGCAGCACAAAGCAACCAAATACGTATATATATAGGATTTTATCAAAATTAAAAACCTGTGCACCAAAGGATATCATCAAGAAAGTGAAGAGAGGCTGCCTCAGCCTCCCAAGTAGCTGGGACTACAGGTGCCTGCCACCATGCCTGGCTAATTTTTGCATTTTTAGGAGAGATGGGTTTTACTTTGTTGGCCAGGCTGATCTCAAGTTCCTGACCTCGCAATCTGCCCACCTCAGCCTCTGACCTCATCAAGAAAGTAGGCGCAGTAGCTCGTGCCTTTAATCTCAGCACTTTGGAATGCTAAGGCAGGCAGATGAGCTGAGCTCAGGAGTTTTAAGACCAGCCTGGCCAGCATGGTGAAACCCCATCTCTACTAAAAATACAAAAATTAGCCAGGCATGGTGGCACATGCCTGTAATCCCAGCTACTTGGGAGGCTGAGACAGGAGAATCGCTTAAAACCAGGAGGCGGAGGTTGCAGTGAGCTGAGATGGTGCCACTGCACTCCAGCCTGGGCAACAGAGTGAGGCCCCATCGGCGGGGGGGGGGGGATAGCTGGCTATATGGTAGCACACACCCGTGGTCCCAAGCTACTCTGAGAGGCTGAGGTGGGGAGGATCGCTTGAGCTCAGGAGGTAG